CCTAAAAATACTGGGTCCATAATTTAGTGCAAACCTACTTCATATGATTGAGGTGTTGCCAGATGTTTCTTTGCACAGACACAAACATGTCCTTGTGTGTTTGCATTCTATTTCAAGACCCTAGTAGTCCCTGCAGAGAGACACTGGAACTTCCAGTCTCAAGGAGCAGGGCAAAAATGAGCAAACTCTTCACATTTTTGCATAGGGTTCATTATTCAAGATGAAATGCTTTTAGGTTAATGTCTTTTGATTTTTAGAAGCATTCACACTTCTTACTCAATCGCCAGGGCTACGGAACATAGCTCTGCTCTTAATTCATGAAGCTCTTCAGTATGCGGGGGAAGACCCATGGCGGGGGGGGGGGGGGGATGATACAGGCAGTGTGAAAAGAATGCCTTGAGAGAAAGAGGAGTTATCGTGTGTTTTAAATGTGTGTGTGTGCACACAGGTACCTGTGTATAATACTATGCATAAAGGGATCAGAAGACAACTTTGGCAGCTGGTGCACATCTGTGGCTGGATTCTTGGGGTCAAACTTGGGTTATTAGGCTTTGAGATAACAAACTTGCTTACCCATGCAGCCATCTCACAGTCCTGCCTTGAGTCTTCCTAATAAGCATTCTCTGGGTAGTCTGGGGGACAACTGCAAGGGCCAAAGATAAGGACAGAAGAGCAACAGGATAGATATGTCCTGTTAGACATTCCTTCTGAAACCAATCCACTATCCATAGGAATCACATGGAGATCTTGTTAAATGTAAATTCTGAGTGACAGCTCTACGGCAGGCCCAAGACGGCATTCTTTCCAACTCCTGGAAGGTCGTGATGCTTCGGGCTCACTGGCTACAATTTGAGGGACAAGAGTCTAGACCAACCATACTCCAAGGACACGCTGTAGTCTCAGTGACTCAAGTAAAAAAAAAAAAAGTAAATAAATAAATAAAATCAAGTGTTCAGGTGTGAACAGGAGGAAGGTGAATTGTGTTAAAAATGACGATGTGCTAGCCCTAGTCTTCCAAAACAGACAGCAAAAGGTCGAAAATACTCACAGATTCATCATTAATGGGCAGTTAATGGGGAGGTAAAGTGTCATTTCAGGCAACACGAAATACCACACAAACACCTCAGACGACTCGTGTGGCAAAATTTTCAAAGTGTTGCAAGCTGTTTGCAGGCTTGAAGTAGCAATTTACATGCATAATTAGGTGCAATCAACAGTTTTGAAATGTAATATATTTTCTGAGTCCATATTTATGTATGACAGATGCTAAAAAAAATACATGTCCCCCAAATAATTGCAGGGGCAGAAGAAAGAAAATAATATTTGCATTGAACAATAGGGACCTTTAAAAGCACATGCCTAAATTTAGAAAAAAAATCAGTTGCAGTATTTTATCTTTTTTTTTTTTTTTCTTGTTTAATCTTCATCTGAGCCTTGAAAAAGTTCACAAACACATTTTGGAAGTAACAAGTGAGGAGGAAGAATATTAACAGCTCTCCCAGCTCCTGTCTGAATTGACATGTGATTTTTTATTTCTGCAGTACAGAAGGAAAACCTGTCAAATTCAAAAGTTCCTCGCACACAACACTGTTGAGTTCCTCCCGCTCCTCGGAAGATGCCAACCACCTTTGAGGGTGTCAAGTGGTGGTAACTCCCTGTTTGCTTCCTCCTGAACCAAGGTCTTCCGACCCATGTTCAAGGAGAACGTCTATCATCTTTCTGCTCCCAGCTCGACAGACAAGGCCTGGGCTTCATACCTTTGTAAGCACAGTACACAGATCATCTGACTTTCCTTAAACTCCCATAGGAGCTCTTGTTCTCGGGTGCTGGAGAGGGAGTGGAGGCAAGGACCCTCTTCAAAGAAGCAGAGCTCTCTCTTCTTTTTAGCTTTGTAGGAACTATTTTGAAAGTGGGGGCAGCCATGCCACAGCAAGTGTCAGGAGGTCAGAGGACAACTCTTCCGAGTCTGCTCTACCACATTTGGGGGACTGGATTTGGGGTATCAGGCTTGGCAGCAGTAGCTTTTATTCACAGGGCCATTTTGCAGGCCTCAATCTAACTATCTGGGATCATCCATTACATGACTCAGGGTCATCATCTCTTTAAAAATCCTATACGTCCAGGATAAGTAAGCTTGTTGTGTTTTTTGATGAGTTCCCAGTTTGGGAAATAAACTTGAAATGCAGCTTTTAGAAATAATGTAGATAGATAGATAGATAGATAGATAGATAGATAGATAGATAAAAACCAACAGTGGAGATTTGGTAAGCCATCCTCCAAACTCTCTGCTTTCTCAGAGCCGGCCCACCCTGCCTTACCTGGCCTGTCTGCACTGACTAAAGCATCCACCAAATGCATGCATACTCATGCAAAAGCTTGGAGAGTAAGAAGGGAGAGATTCTAGGCACACACCTGGCATGACTTCATCCGTCAGAATGATGGGCAGTGTGTGTGCAGGCTCTGCCTCTGTGAGGCTCCGCAGAGCACCCCAGCGGGCAGTGAAGCTTCCCACCTGTGTTAGTCACACGTTACACATGCCACACTGTGTGTTGAGGGAAAGGCCACTTTCTACCGGGAAACACATGGACAGTTCAATTATCTTCTGGTCAGCTGGGGTCAATTTAGAACCCAAAACCAAGAACAAATGACTGGTGTTAAACAGGTTCTTCATAACTCCTCCTCATTGCTGTTCCACGGTTCCTCCTGGATGTGAAGAGTTGCTCATGCAATACCCCACGATGCACTCCCTGAGCTAACTCCCAGAAGCAAATGGTAACTGCAGGACTCACCCCGCTTGCTCTGAGATGGATCCGGTTGACCCAACCCAATCTAGGGCCTGTGGGCCCTGTTACCTGTTAAATGTGGCTGGGAATGTTTGCTGTTGACCTTTGGTTAAGTCTTTATTGTAGCAACCTTTCATGTCCAGAGAGGGCAGGAAGATGGTGACTTCCAGACAAGCCTGGGCAAACTCTCCATGCCTCTGCTCACCCGCAGCCGCTCTGACTCAGGGAGGAGTGAGGGCTTCCTTGGGCATCTCTACAGAATTTTTGTGATTGGTGTGATTTGGAGGCTATGATGGGTGCCAATTACAGTGCTACACTTATGTGCTACGGTCCTGTTACACCCCTCGTTTTTTTATAACAAGCTTGGAGCCACCCTCTGCTCCTGCCCCCCCCACCCCCGGGGTTGCAACATTAGACCCTGTAAAAGGTTTCTGCCAAGGGCTCTTTTCCTACCCACCTGTGATCTCTATCATGATTGCAGCGAGTCTGGTGGGTAACTTCCAGAGGAGACAGCAACAGTCAGGGGCAGCCCCTCAGAGGTTAAAAGGCAGCTGATGAGTTTAATGGGGCTGAAACACAGGGAGGACTGGGGTGGAGGAGGTGCGGAGACCTGAAGACAGCGATGTGGCTGCTTGCTGGAAATGCTCCTAAAGAGGAGAGTCTGAAGTCTTCCCTGGAGCCTGAATACTGCCGAACATGCTTCCAGGCCCTCCCTACACCCAAGGCTCCTGAGTCCCAGCTCTGGTTGCCAAGGATGACACTAGCTGCCCAGAGCCAGGCCACTGGGAATGAAAGTACCAAGCTTCCCAATCCGAGCATCTCCAGTCTCGTGGCCTAACTCATGAGCCTCAGAGCACCTCCAGTTCTTAGGACTTGGAACTAGAAGCCACGTCTATGAGGGCTTGGCACCTTGGGGCTCAGAACCACTGATACTAGCCCATCAACTCTTCATTTTTATGTGAGTAGCCCAGAATTGATAAACGTGACTGACAGGGAGTCCCAATTTAAGACCTTCCAGGTCTGTCCTTGCCAACGCTGTACTTACAGAGCGCTTCATTGCCTGCCCCTAATTCACCTCCTAAAAATATGCCCAGCTTGCTGGAGAGAACTGGCCACTTGGGAGAGCAGGCGCCCAGCTGGCGCCCACCCCAGGGTATGTTGCAGTAAAAGCCTGACAGCTACACCCCACTTCTCTTACTCCTCCTCTGACCCTCCACCAGCAGACCTTGGTACCAAACTCAGCATAGTGAGACTGGTCGGATCCCTGCATCCTCTCCACCCCCTGCAGCCCCCACCCTCCCAGTTTTAACCCGTGATATGCCCAAGACAAGGTCTTGTTAGGTCTGTTTCCTGTGCCCGGAATTTGATCCCTGCTGCTTCTGTGCTCTGGTTCTCTAGTAGAGGGTTGCAGTCCTTACAGAGCCGCCAGCATCAGGGCAGACCCAGGTGCTGGGCTCTGGCAGCCACAGGCAGGCACTCAGGAAGGGACGGGTCCTGCAGACACTCTTGTCTCCCAGGGAAGGGGGAACCGGGGTCAGGAGGTGGTAGTCACCTGGGGTTGGGGTGGTCTCTGCAGCCACCAGCCCTCCCATGCCCCTCTGCTGGTGGTCGCTGACACCCTCATGCGTAGGGTGTCCTTTCTTTGGTTGCTCTGCGCTGGGCAGGGGACAGCAGATAGGGTCGGTGCCTGGTCAGCGGCAGGGGTGTGAGAGCTCACTCACACCTGGCACTCCCCATCCCTGCCAGCGTCGCCAGGCAAATCCAGCCCATCTGGTTTGCTCTTCCAGTAACTTCGTTCAAAAGGTTGGAAGGGAGGTGAAACACCCTGGGGGCGGGGGTGGGGTGGCGGGAGACGCTGGATGATCGAGGATCCCGGATCGAGGATAAGGAGAACAAGTCCCTGGGGCTGTCCCCAGGGCTGGTTGGGGCGCGCGGCTGGGAGGCGCCCTGCCACCGCCAGGATGCGCTCGGTGTAGCGGGACTGCCGGGGGGCGCCTGAAGGCCAGCGCTCCAAGGACACGCGGCCACCCCGCTCCTCGCGGGCTCCCGGGCCCAGACGCCCCGCAGCGCCGGAGCGGAGCCGCGGGGAGCGCGGGCGAAGGGTGGCAGGAGGGAGGGCGCGCGAGAGGCGGCCCCTCCTCGGCGAGCCATGCGTGCCGCGGGCCGCTGAGGAGCCGCCGGGCGCCGCTGCCAAGTCTCCGCTCCGCTTTTGTCTTGCCCTCCAGTGAATGGGAAGATGGAGATGGATGTGGAGGGAGTTTCTCCGCGCCCGGAGCCCATCCCCCGCTCCCAGGGGGCTGGCGGAGCCTGCCAGGCGCCGCCACCGCCGCCCCAGCCCCAGCCGCAGCCCCAGCGGCCGCCGGCTCAGGATGAAGTGCCGGGCGGCGAGAGTGCGGGCGCCGAGGACAGCGACGATCCCGAGGCGAGACCCAGCGGCGAGAGAGGGGAGAGCAAGGTAAGGTCCGCGGCGTGGCCGTCGTGACATCTTTTGAACCAGACGGAGGAAGACTAGTGCCGGCTGTCTCTTTAACCCCTCCGCTGCCGGCCCCTTCCCTCGCGTGTGGGGGGTGGGGTGGCAGGTTGGAGAGGGCGTGGGGTTTAAAGGAATCCACGCCGGTAGGGAGTTTCTCAACTGGAAGGCGTGTGCAGAGAGAAGTCTGCTCGCTCTGGTTTCGGCGTTCATCGCTGTGAGCAGGGCAAGTCGTGGTACACGCGATGCGAGGCTGAGGGCAGGGCTGAACCCGCGGGAGGGGCAGTGCTTAGACTTGGGCTTCGCGCGCCTGGGTCTGGGTGGGGGTGTGCCTCCCGACCCGGCCGGGGGCTTCCCAGACTCTTTCAGGGGAGGCGACAGGCAGCTGCGGGTGGGAGCAAAGTTTGACTGTTTCTCGTTGGGCACGGTCTGGCCTCGGGAGCCCTGGGCTGGAGGTGGGCCCCCTCGGCGGGCAGCCTCCCCTCCAGGAGGGCTGGGACCCAGTGCCCGGCCGGCAGCAGAGCCCTGCGAGTCCTTTGCAGCCCTGCTGTGTCATTGTAGACCCGGGGAGACCTGCGCCTGACTGTGGAGTTCTTTAGGTAATTGAATTCCGGTACGAAATGGCTCCGGTGTCATTCTCTGGTGCTGATGTTTCCTCTGCTGAGGAGACTGTACAGTAGAGGAGATGGCCCGGGAGAGGATTCCTCGGTAACATTCGGGGAACGTGCTTGTCCCAGCTGGCTCTGCCGCTGCCCCACGCTCCGAGTTTACTTTGGTGGAAGCTAGTTGTTTAGTTCCATCGGTGTCGAGTGCGCACATGTGTTTGTTGAAGCTTTTGGAGAGCAGCTGCTAATATTGGGGAAAAGTTGGTTCAGCAAATCAGAATATTGCAACCCAAGAAGAGTCGATCTACTTTATCTTCACGCTGGCTTAAGTAAGGATGTGTGTGGGTAGAGTGGCTTCCCTTAGGTAGAAGCAAGGCACATCTGGAATGCTCCTCCTTGGGAATACCGTGATTTTCCTTGGACCTCTGCTAAGACAACAGATATTAAACAGATAACCGGAGCATGTGGGGATCACCGGAGTGTTGTCGTTCTGTGTCTGCAGACAGATCCTTAAGTTTGGATTGGCAAATGCTTAAAATTGCTTCTGTGTTTTGAAACCCGAGGTAAGAATCAGGGTTGTTATTTATTGTTATTTAAATGGTAAGCTATGCAGGAGTTTGAATCTGAACACACGCCCAGGCATATCAGAGCCGGGCGCCTTACGACTGGATATAAGATTTACATTGTGCAAACTATATGAATTTTCATCGTCTGATATCCCCAGCCTTCCGGTCGATCTTGATTTTATGAATATTTAATCCTGTCACGGCTGCATACTTACTACTTGAAAGCCTGTGCCCAGGTTTATGGAAAACCCTAACTGAACATCATATCACCTAACTGAACGTTAGGTCTCCCCTGCAACGCTGGTGTGGAGAGTAATTAAAATCTCCAGCCAGTGCGGTGCTGCCATCGCTGTAGCGTGGGTTCCTTTGCCCTGAGCGTGAGAAGAAACCCCTGCCATCAGCAAAAAAAAATCTGTGTGTGTTTGTTTCCCTCTGCTGCGCTGCTTCGACTGTCTAATGTTCTGCCTGCCGAGGAGCGAGAAAAGCGAAGCTCTAGAAATACACACCAGGCAAGGAGAGGACTGAAAGCCAGTTGATTACATTTAGTTAATTAGTGTGTTCGGATAATTGAGGATCGCCGCGATGTGATTTGCTGCATGTCTGCCTGCAATTTATTTTTTTGAGGTGGAAAACAAAAATACTACCCCCCCTCCAGGTGTTTGTCTTAAATTATGAGGCTTCGTTCTCCGAACCTAGAAATCAGCTGTGCTAACCTTCGCTCCCGTGGTTCTCCTTGCTAGTGGTTGTGAGAGTCGGAGGATGGCTGTTAGGCTTCAAGCCTTAGTGACTGCTTTTGCTTTTGATGGAATATGAAGGCAAACTACAATTTCTTTTCTTAGCAGATCCTGGTTATGGGTAGAAAGACCTACTGGTGTCTGACTAGACTGTTGTAGTTAAATGTAAATGGAGGAAACCTAGGGTGATGTGGGCCATGGGCTAATGAGGCTGGTGGGTGAGACAGGTAGATCGCCACACTGGACTCAAACGCCGTCATGCGCAATGCGTGTATTGGGCTATAATGTTTTCTTTGCGTTTAGGAGAATAATTGGAATTAAAAAAAAGTCTTTACTTAACTCTTCCTTCACACGCAAGGACATCACTAATAAGTGACGTAAGAGGGCACACCCTGGAAAACACGGTGTTTGCAGGGTGATGAGAGTTGTTTCTGTTTGCTTGGTTTGGATTTCTTACGTCACCCAGGCAGGCCGTAAACTCACCACACAGCAGAACGTGACCTCGGACCTCAGAGCTCCTGCCTCCGTCTATCAAATGCCAGGACCACACGCATGCAGTGGCACACTGAGCCGTGTTCTGCCCCTGCCTTGGGTAACTTACCTCCATTGTCTCATGGAAAAAGCAACATGGGGGCTGACAGTCATCTCTGTATTGTTGGATGTTAACCATTTGTCACATATCATCATAAGGTCTCGGAAACACGAGGGTAGAATACTGGTGTGTGTGTGTGTGTGTGTGTGTGTGTGTGTGTGTGCGCGCGCATGCGTGTGTGACACGCATCATGTATGTGAAGTTCAGTTGGTTTCTCCTGCTACCCTGTGGGCTCTGTGGGCTCTGGGGTGTCAGCTCAGGTTGTCAGGCTTCGCAGCAGATGCCTTTATTCACTCAGCCATCTTGCTGGCTTGAAGGAGACTTAAAAAAATGAGTTTCATCTTGTTTCTCGTCTTTTCCATACTGTAGGAGGGCCACATGGTTCTTCTCTAGCGGTGACTTTTGAAGAAACTTGGCAGCAGCTCCAGATCACACTCCGAAGACAGAGCAGAGCCCGAGCCGTCTTCCTCTGCCTTGTCACTAGGCCTCTCCTGAAGTGGGGTCCCTGCCTCTGTGCAGACCCCATGTGTGCTGGCCACCTGGGGTGACCTGGGGTGATAGTCCCTCCCCTGTTATTCTAAGGCCTTCCTCCTCACCTCTGAAGAGGTTCTAAACTTGGCAGGTCTCTTTTGTTCTGGTCTTAAGAACAAAGATTGAAAATAGTCTGTAAGGGAGAGACCTGCAAATCCTTGAAAGCTGTTCTTGATGTAAAACACCTGACCTCAAGACTTTCTTGCCACATTTCCCAGGGGCACCGAGTATCTTTTTAAAAGTCATTAGAAATGGTCTGTTTGTACCAGATAACCCTTTAGTTGTTTATGAAACATTGAAAAATTTTGTGTAATGTACCACTCCAGGGTATTTCCCCCCCCCCCCCCCCCGTGTTAACAAGTTACTTACACAAATGTGTAAATCTTTCTCCTGGTGGTGGTCCCGGATGGGGCATAGGGATGCTTCTTATGTTCCCTATTCATCTCATTCACTGCATCCTCTTTCCCATTCTCTGCCTTTGCCCCCCTCACACGGCGCTCCTATAACAGAGTGTGGTGCAGGTATGAAGCGCCTTGAGAGGCTTCCTGTTCATCTCCTGCCTCGGTGAGCAGGACAGCTGCACCTTCTGTGATCTTGGCCTGGAGGAGCTTTGAATCTGGCTACCAGTAGTACTTGGATGATGAAATTGACTTCCGTTCTCCCTTTAGCTACATCCTATTAGTGACAAGGTCTGAGGCTACACCCTTCAGGCTGCAGCTGTAGTGCGTCTATTATTCTGTCCATCACTGGGATTTTTTTTTTTTAAGTCTTTCAATTTGAAATAATTTTGGACTTGTGGGACAGTTTTTAAAGTAGAGATGTTTTCCCTCAGATTCCTCTATTTTTAATATTTTAAAACACAGAGTTAGTGTTCCATAAAACATGGGCTGTGTACCTCATGGAGGAGAAAGTACCATTTGAATAATTACCTCAGCTTGTCACTAAACTCTGTTTGGGTGGGTGTGTAGCACATCAGTGTTTTTCTCTGTGTAGCCTTGGCTGTACTTGAACTCATGCAGTCCACCTGCCTCTGCCTTTCTGAGTGCTATGATCAAAGGCATGCACCACAATGCCCGGCTCCAGAAAGGATTTTTAAGGAGACAGTGATATCTCAAGTAGCAAGTCAAGGAGAATGTTGGTAAATCAGAGCAGCTTACGTAGGCTCTTGACTCTTGAGTGATGTTGTAGGCATGAGAAACCACAGAGGCTTTCAAATGTTTTTACTGCTAGCTGGCTGGACCCTGATTTCTGGCCCAGACCTAGAAAATCACTCTTATGTGTTATTTGTGAAGTCAGGGACCTGAGTTGGTTCATGGCTCCAGCTTTCCAATCCTGTTTCTGACTTACAATGGGCCTTAATGCCCTACACCTTCACCTTTGCACCTGTGAAGTAGGTGTAATTATAGTGTCAACCACCAGTGATTATTGTATGGCTTGAATGATAAATGCCACAAAAATTTTTAATTCACAGCTCTCCAGGTAATGATGGTCAGTGTTGTTAATAATAGTTTGATTTCTACCATTACTGGGGTCCACGGTTTGAAAAAGGAAGGTGAGCTGAGAATTCAAGTTTCCCTCCCAGGGGACTCTGGGGCAGGCAGTGACCCAGACAGATTCATTCTTTGACAAACCACATTGGTGCTCTCTGACTTGCTTTTGTCCTTTGGACCGTGTGGTGTGTGCTAATTGGTTAAACACCGTCAAACTCACACAACTTAGACTCACCTGGTAGAGAGTCTTCCTGAGGACTTACCCAGATCAGGGTGGCTTTGTGGGGATGCCTCGGGGAGGGCAGACTGCCTGGATTGTTAATTGCTCTGGGAAGAGCCAGCCACTGCGGGCAGTGCCATCCTCTATGCAGTGGGTCCTGAACGGTATCAGAACAGGGCTGGCTGGGGGTAAGCAAGGCTGTACTCCTGTCTGTCTGTATGTGATGTGACTAAGTGCCTTGAGACTC